TTTTCAAACAAAATCAATGAATTTGTATTTATAATGACATGCAATAAAATGTTGTTTATAGTCCCGTCAGTCGTCAAAACCATTTAAACATAACTTTTCAAACAAAAAACTCAATTTAGTTCACAAAACGCGTCTAAAATTCATGACTTTTGTAGAGAATCATGTATTTTACATAAAACACAAAATATTAGAAATATTTTAGACATAAAAAATTACAAATTTCTATATAAAGCATAGAATAACAAAATTACATTCAAAAAATGATTTAAGAATTTCAAACATTTAGTTGCATATAAAAAAGTGTAAAATTTTATTTATCAAAAAATTAATTCATTATTGTGCCATAAATTGTGATCAAAAAATTAAAGGCATTTTCGCTGTATATACAAAAATTGTTGATCAAAAATAGTGAATTAATTGATTAAATTAGTGTTAAAATAGAGACAACTAAATAAAATGAGTGAAAATAAATAAATTGTGGACATATAGAGATGGGATGAGTGGTTGCATCCATCGCCAGTACAGGTGAATATACAGCTCCGGTAATCCCTTTCATCTCCCGGTCGGCGCACATAATCACAGTAATCGCCGTAATCTCTCGACGAACAGAATCTTTTGGTCCCGATTTGGCCTTAAGTTATAAATAGTTTTTTGAAAAATACATTTTAACATTCATTCATAACACAAACCCTCGAAACACTATTTATATCAAACTTTTAGCTATAATTCTCTTTCATATATTTTTTAGTTTTCATAAATATTTTAAGTTTATATAAAGAGATAATGTATAAGAATTTCAAGTATTTATCAAGACAAAACTATTTATTATTATTTACTAATTAACATACAAAATGACCAAGAAATATAGAACTGTGCATGATCATTTTAGTAAAGTTGGTTACCTTCAAACATTCCCGTAGATTTGATACAATAGCTGTTCTGAAACACGTGATCGCAGGCCTGGGGCCGCAGTTTGGTGTTTATCTCATCAAACTTTTCACTGCATTCAATATCTGTATTACTCTCGCATTGATAGCAATGAATCGCCGAAACTATTAATAAATTAAATATTAATTTAATATTCAATTAACTCATTATCCATTGAACCCATTATCCATACCCGTCACCACTGATTCCGCCAATATATACACCGCCGCCAAGAGATTCAATATATTGTTTGTCTTCATTATAAATTGAAGGCTTAATATTACTTGATTGAAACAATTAAATGCTAATTACAATTGAGATTCAACTAAATTCATGTCATATTGACATTGTTTGGCAGTTATGGATAATATGACTGTTATTTTGTTGGGTGTGTTCACATGTGCTGCACAGAAGCACAGGTATTAGATATTTACCTGAATAACCAGACAGGTATGTCGAGCCCATGTGTGACATAAGCTTATGAACATAATATTACTGTACATACAGAACATGCAGTGTTCGTTAAGAGCCAATTCAACCAACCCTTTATTTTGTATGGACTATTAAGGTTACACTTTCACAATTTTATAATTGAAGTTGTTTTGTAATTTTATTGTATTTCTTACGGAATTGATTTAAATTCTAGTGAACTGCAAATGAAATACAAAATATAAATGAAAGAAATGTTATTGCAATTATTGCCTAGTAATTCAATGTTGCATACATTTTAATGGCTAAATTTTAAAATAATATTAAACATTATGTTCATATTTCATTTTAATAACAGTGATATTAAACTTTATATCACTGTTAAGATAGTGATCGATCAGTTATGTAATTTTTAAACTTTTGTTTTGTATCAACATTTGTTATTAGATAATAGTTTTAACAAGTTTGTTTTATAAACCAGAAATAGAGTACAACTTTTTCAACTTTGCCTAAACTCTGTGCATTTTCATCAGTATTCATATCGTTAACGAATTTTCTATAAAATATATTATTAGAGTTAAGTAATTAAAAACATTGTATTTTTAACAATGAAAAGTCATTCATTGTTTTCAAAGCATTTTAAAAATAAATTCTATATAATTAATGCAGAACTCTATAGAGTCTTAACA